GATACAGCACTGCCTGCACCAGGTCGCCGCGGCGCTCGAACGGATGAAACCTGCTTGTAGCGAGTGCAAGAAGCGAGCGAGGCCGAACTCGCCCGCGAGCTTCTCTGCCACCCAGGGGTGGCGAGGTCTCCTGGTGGTCCGCGTACGTCGGCACTTCGATGGCCCCTCCAGCAACCGTCATCTCTGGCGACAGCGTCGCAGATCGCAGCCCTGGGGGCAGGCGAGGTCGCATCTGGGTCTGGGTCGGACGTCGCTCCGCTGGACCCCCCAACAGCTTTCGAAAGTGGCGACAGTATTGCAGATCGCAGCCCCCCAGGGATGGCGAGGTTTCACTTGAGTCTGCGTACGACGTCACTCCGCAACCCCCCAGCACCTTTCGATAGTGACGATAGTTTCGCAGATCGCAGCCCCCCAGGGATGGCGAGGTTTCATTTGAATCAGGGCAGGACGTCACTCCGTTGGACCCCAGCAGCCCTGGAAAGTGGCGACGGCTTCGCGGATCGCAGCCCCGCAAGGAGGCGAGGTCTCAGTTGAGTCCTGTTAGGACGTCACTCCGCTGGTCCCCCCAGCAGCCCCGGAAAGTGCGACAGTTTCGCAGATCGCAGCGTTTCACGGATGGCAAGGTCTCGCCGGGATCTGGGTATGACGTCACCCCGCTGGACCCTCCAGCAGCGTTCGAAAGTGTCGACCGTTTCGCAAATCGCCACCCACCAAAGATGGCGACGTCGAACCTGGGTCTGGGTATGACGTCATTCCGCTGGGCCCCAGCAGCCCTCGAAAGAGTCGACAGTTCCGCAGATCGCACCACCCCAGGGAAGGCGAGGTTACATTTGAGTCTGGGCAGGACGTCACTCCGCTGGACCCCCGAACAGTTTTCGAAAGTGGCGATCGTTTTCCAGATTGCGGCCCCCCACAGATGGCGAGGTTTCATCTGGATGTGGGAATGACGTTTCTTTGTTGGGTTCCCCTGCAGCCTTCGGAAGTGGCGACAGCTTCGCTGATTGCAGCACCCCAGGGGTGGCGAGGTCTACCATGAATCTGGATCTGTCGTCGCTCAGCTGGACCCCCCAGCAGCCTTCGAAAGTGTCGACAGTTGCGCACATCGCAACCAACCGAAGATGGCGATGTCGAATCTGGGTCTGGGTATGACATCATTTCGCTGGGCCTCAACTGCTCTGGAAAGTGTCGACAGCTTCGCAGATCGCAACCCCCCAGGGACGGCGAGGTGTCATTTGAGTCTTTGTAGGACGTCACTCCTTTGGACCCCCCAGCAGCCCTGCAATGTGTCGACAGTTTCGCAGATCGCAGCCCAACAAACATAGCGAGGTTGAATGTGGATTTGGGTGTGACGTCACCCCGCTGGACCCCCCAGCAGCCCTTGGAAGTGTCGACCCTTTCGCACATCGCAACGCACCAAAGATGGCGATGTCCACTATGAGTCCGGGTAGGACGTCACCCCGCTGGGCCCACCAGCAAGCCTCGAAAGTGTCGACAGCCTCGCATATCACATCACACCAAACAGGTCGATGTCGAATATGAGTCTGGTTATGACGTCACTCCGCTGGAACCCCTCGAAAGTGCCGATCGAAGGCAGTTTCGCAGATCGCAGCCCCGCAGGGAGGCGAGGTCTCATTTGAGTCCCGGCAGGACGTCGCCCAGCTGGACCTCCCAGCAGCTTTCCGAAAGTGGCGACATGTTCGCGGATCGCAGCCTCACAGAGATGACCACGTAGGAGGTAAGCTGGCTGGCAGGAAGGAGCGAGGTAAGAGGCAACAGGGAAGAGAGAAAAGGTGGGGCTGGAAGGAAGGTCGTGACCTCAGGTCTCTATTCAAAACGAGTGCCCAACGCAGGAGAGTGGGGAAACAAATCAGGCCGCCACCCTTATATTGGCAAATCCGGAGTGGCTGTTCGTGTTCGCTTACTCGGAGTCTGGGATCTTGGATTCACTCGGCGGCGGGCCAAGGGGGGAAGTGGGAGGGGCAGGCCTTCTCAAAAGGCGGCGAGGCGAGGCGTCGCAGAAACCCTCGCGCAATCCGAGAAGTGTTCTGCGTCTTTGGAGAAGGCCCGTCAAGCTTACGAGAAGGCCGGAGGCCTTCCGGGCCTTCTGGGAAGGCCCGCCCCCTCTGGCCCTCTTTCAACATCGTTGGGTCGTAGATGGGGTGGTTTCCTTTGGTGTCTTGTCCAGTTTTGAAGTTCTGCTTCGAAGCAGCGCCGCAACAGACACACACACACACACACACACACACACACACTACACTACACTGCCCTACACTGCACTACACTATGCTATACTACACTACGCTACACCACACTACACCACACACTACACTACACACTGCACACCACACACTGCGCACTGCACACCGGACACTGCACACTGCACAGTACACACACATGCGGCTGCCACGCAGTACGGCGCGGTGGCGGATGGCTTGCAGCGTGCTGCAGTCCTCGTGGCCCAGCGGCCGCACGGGACCAGCTCCGAGCCGCTCGGACGGAAAGCGCGCTGCTTCTTGCTTCCTCCTTTCCTCCCTCCTCCTCCTCCTACTCCTCCTCCTCCTCCTCGTCCTCTCCTCCGCCTTCCCTCGTCTTCTCCTCCGCCGCCTCCTCATCCTCCTCCTCCTCCTCGTCCTCTCCTCCGCCTTCCCTCGTCTTCTCCTCCGCCGCCTCCTCATCCTCCTCCTCCTCCTCCTCTCTCTCATCTTCCTGCCCCCGCCTCCCCATCGCCCGTTAATCCTCCGCCTCCTCCCCTCCTTCTCCTCCTCCTCCTCCTCCTACTCCTTCTGCTCCTCCTCTTCATGTCCCTTCGCCCTGTCCCTCCTCCTCATCCTGCTCCTTCTCCTCCTGTCCCTTCTTCATGTCCCTCCTCCTCTTCGACTTCGTCCCGGTTTTAATCACCCCTCTTGCTCTCCTCTCCGCCTCCAAAGATGGAGAGGGAGGGGAAGTGTTGGTGGCGTTCACACTTAGGGGAGGGGAAGGCTTTCTGCGAAAGCGAGCGGCTTCTCAGAAGGCGGGTGTCTTGCTGGAAGGGCCCGAGGGGGATTTCTGAGGTGGCTGCCCGGAAAACGGGAAGTCTTCGACGCAGTACAGATGAGGAGGCGGAGGCGGAGGCGGAGGCAGAGGAGGAGAGAGTTACGACAAATGGGAGGAGGCGGAGGAGGAGAAAAGACGCGACCCTCCAGCTCTGCAGCCACAAGCAAAGCAATGGAAACCCGTTCCCATACCAGTGTACATTTGATGCTCCGACGTCGTGACTGTACGCCGAAAGCACACCGCCACAGAACGTGTTGGCCGCAGTCTCTTCGGTTCAGCTTCCGCCGCTGCCAAGAAAGCATTGGCCAGGTGCTCCCGTACTGTTCTGCCAATCGCCTCAGCGTGCCCCCCAGCTGCCACCACCGTATTTAAAACCGTACATTTCTCGGCCCAAAAGCCTGCAGCTTCATCAGCCATCGCATTGGCCAGGTATTGCTCGACCTTGGTGCCAGCGTTCGACGCCTCTTCAATCGACATGTGGCTCTCGATTTTGACAACTCTGAGCAGTGACGGATGTGGCAACAACAACACCTGCTTCACATTTAACCAGAGGTCCAAATTGGTCGTCGGGAGCCGCCCTGCATTGAGTTTGGCGATGCCCTTCACGACGTAGCCCGGGTCCGTGACAAAAGTGATGGACACACCAAGCCCTGAGATATCCCCCGCAGCCCTGAGCAGAGCCGTCGTCTCCCCCCTGTAGATGGTTTGTTTCAAGGGAATGCCACCCCCATCGGGAATACAACAGCTTGACATCCAAGGCAGGTCCGCGGAGGACCTGGATAACTTGGCACGAGCAACCAATCCGCCGAAGCCGTGGGTCGCCAGTTTGAGCACCACCAGACGCATCACCTCCGACAAGTAGTCGTTCGCATCCTTGAAGTTCATCGTTATTGCCCATAACCTCGTCATACGGTGTACCAGTCGGCTCGCCCACGTGCGTCCAGGGCGATGTAAGACTTCTCGAAACCATAGACAAGGACACGCTTCATGCTCCTCCTGAGCACGGCGGATAATGATCTGAGAGATGGTAGACAAGAGGCCGTTGCAGGAGCAAGTCCAGCTGCGATGGGGATCTGTCTCCCCTTCGCCACAAGCGCACCCCTGGCAGTCCGTGGTGTCCAGCTTGTTGCTACTCAAAGTGGCTACCCTGCTGCGTGTCCAAGAGTCACCCGTCATGACTGCCTCAACGGCACCCACCATCTCTAGTCCACCTTTCTTCCGCAAGAAAGCGAGGTGCCGACGCGCATCTCGTAGATCAGCTCCTTCTGATAGGCCCTTGCCGTTCCAGTGCCCCGAAGCCCTGTCCCATAATAACCAATCGGTTGTGTCCGAGATGGCGTCTTTGAGGGCACTCATGTCCTGGGGTCCTTTCCCTATGCTACTGTCTGGTGCCACGAAGCGATCCCCAGTATCTGATATCCACGCCCAAGGACCCACAGGGCCCCAGCCAATGTCCAAAAGCGTGGCGATCGTAGCAGAAACCACTCCAGTGGTGTCGCGCCATCTGTCTTGCTGCGCTCTGTTGTCGATATTTCCCCTAGCCGTGCGCCGCGCTCGGCGAGCCAATTCCAGATCGAACCCAGGTTTCAATATAACAGCCATCCACGACTCAATCAGCATGTGCACAATCTGGTAGTGCGGGTTTTACCCCCCGTCCGAAGTCGCAGCCATGTGGCGAGGCAACGGCCAGGCCACTTCTTGGCCAGGGTCTGCCCGAGCGCCTTCCCCCAGCCGTTGATAACTGATGGAGCCAAGCCGAACGCCTTGTCCGAGTAGCCCGCTATCGGTAGGACACCCATCGTTGCGGGCTTGACACCCATCTTCTTCCGAGCAGCTCCTTGTGCAAAGCGCTTGGCACGGTTGAACCGATGTTGCGATCCCCGTCGGCGCTGAGCTTGCTTGGGGCGTAGGAAGCCTCTTGTGCCCCCATCGATGCCAATATCCGTGGCGGCGCTCTCACTATTGACCGTGAAGCTAGCTTTGGCAAAACCCATCTGCAGTGCTTTCCCCAGGTCGACTAGGTTGGTCATGATGGTAGATTCATCCGAAATCACCAAACCCGCTTCGGCACAGCCGCTGGCGAAAGGGGGGCCCGCCTGCAAGGCCAGACCGAGGGCCCTCTTGCACCCCCCGTCCACGCGCTGGGAAACATTGTCAACCCGAGACCGCGTCGTCACCCCTGGCGTGCCTCGGGCAATTGGGTCAGGAAGGTTATGCAGTGCACACCTTGAGAAACCAAGTGTGCCTCCCAACCCCGCGATCATGCCCTGCTCGGGGTCGATGGCGTCGGAGTAGTAACATCTAGCACGTAAGACGCGGACCCCCATGCGCAGGATCATCTCCAATGCCAGAATGCCAGGGGGGGAGCTCTGCTCCAGGCCTGATTCGAGCAGCGACTTCCACCTGAGTGCGTCATAAAACCCTTCAATATCCCACATCAGACTTGCCTGCGCCCAGCCTTGAATCGTGGATCGAGCCGCCGTCTCGCCCAGGTGGCCCTGTCGTCGCCTGAAGGCTTCCTCGCGGGAGTCACCAATACTATTGTGAGCTGCCAGGGCCAGGCAACCTCTTTCTCAACCTGCTGACATAATTGCACGAATTCCAACCTGTCTTGCTTGGGAGCCACGCCAGACCTGTCGTGCCCAGCTGCTCGATGCCCTTGGCCGAGGTGCCCTGCAGCCTTCTGGAACTTCCCCCAAGCGTCTCTGAAACGAAGGTAGGGAAGGGGGCTTCCCTGAAGCGGTCACGCGCAGCGCTCTGAATATGCGACGCCTTCTTGATACCCAGGGAAGGATCACTCCACTTCTTTCGCCGGACCTTCGCTTTGCTATTTCTCGCCGTGGGCGGGTCGGAAGAGACGTTCAGACCGTCCCCGAACTCGTCTTTAGACGTTGGTCTATCTTGTGTAAGTCGGAAGAACTTGCCAGGCGCCGCAATGCACTGCCCCCCCGCCCATTGCGAGAACGCAATCTACTGTGAGTAGCGCGCCGTTCTTTGTGGGCTGCTGGCAGCCTTGCTGTAGTCCTCCTTGCATCTGCGGATGGCGTCGTCTGTGGCAGATCTCATCATGCGGAGCTCCCTGCACCATGACTGCCCCTCCTTCCTCGGCAGAGAGGCCAGGATGGAAGCGGGTACGCTCGCTGTTGCATCCCTCAGTCTGTTGATGAGCTTGCTGAGCCTGGGGGCCTCACGTTGCGAGGTGTCCCTGTCAAGTTCTTCTGGCACGAAAGCAATTTTGGTCCACGAATCCACCCCAGGGCCCCGAGTCCGCGTAGAGGAAAAGGCACAACTTTGTTTATCCCAACCGAACGGGTAATGACTCTTTCACGCTGGGCTTTGCCGTCCATGCCCAACCCCTCACCATCTAATCGAATGCTAAAAGTCCTCCACCTTGCTGGCCCACTTGCCAAATCGGCGCCCCAAGGAGGGTGCACTGTCGGCCGTGAGATGCCACGCATGCGAGTCCCGAGCGTAACCAGGGGGTGTTGGCCATGTTTTGTCGTTGATGTTGGCGATTGAGGGCCACGCCCCCTCTCTGTTGCGCAGAGACCACTTCTCGCCCAACCCTTGCATCAGCTGCTGGTGGGGCTAGGTCTGCTCCTGGCTCATCATCAGGTAGAGGGTATTCGTCGTCCTTCTCGTCTTCGCACTCCGACTCCCCACCCAAGTCCGTGGGGCCCAGGTAGTGCAAGGGCGGCGACGCCTTGATCACCAATCTCTTGCGGGATCCCAGCGCAGGTATTGTGAGCCTCGTAGCCGTCGGGGTAGCCACCGCCACCAGCTTCCGTGTTCGCGTGCTGTTCGGGTCCGCTGTTTTCTTCGGCTGTTTGCGTGGTCCGAAGGCCTCGGGGGGCCCCAGCGCGCGTCCTTCTGTTACTTTTGCTTCCAACAAGAGATCCAGCACTATGCCATAATGGGCCTGGCCCCCCTCGCCAACCATATCGGCATCCGCGTGCGCCCGTTCCAGGTACTCAAGAGCGGACGCTGAAGCCACCACGTAGTCGATGAGTGTACCTTGTCCACCAGTGCACGTGTAATCCACACTGGCGGCAGCCGAACTATTTCCCTGCATCAAGTTGAGCCACCCTGCTTTCCGAAGGGCTTCAGGCGGGACATTCCAATCGCACAAGATGGCCAAAACGATGACACCAAAGACGCCATATGTCGCAATTTCTCCACACTGGCTCCTGTAATCCCCAGTCCGTTGCAGAGGTAGCCGCCAAGGATCGCGATGTGCGCGCCCTTCAAGAGCACCTGCGTCCCGGCCAGGTCTTTAAACCGAACGCCCGTGGTGATGTGCTGGCCTGTCTTGTGTTTGTCGACTCTCTTGCCTGGTAAGTCGCCCATGTTCGAGGCCGGATTTCGCAAGGGCCAAGAAGCCCATTTCATGGAGACCCCCATAGCTGCCGCACCTGCCTTCGACGTGACATTTGCCGGTTCAGCACCAGCAGGGCAAGCCAGACTTTC